GAGGGCAATATTTTTCTTGTATTTACAAGAAAGTATTTATGTTTGGGGCAGCACGGTGGCTCAGTGGTTAGCACTGCTGCCTCACAGCACTCAGGACCCATGTTCAACTCTACCCTCGGATGACTGTCTGTGTGGGGTTTGCACATTCTCCCCATGTCTGCGTGGGTTTCCTCTGGGTGCTCTGGTTTCCTCCCACAGTCCAAAGACATGCAGGTTAGGTGGACTGGCTGTGCTAAATTACACATTGTGTCCAGGGATGTGCAGGCTCAGTGGGCTAGCCTTGGGAAATGCAGGGTTACAGGGATAGGATAGGAAGTGGCTCTGGGGGTATAGTCTTTGGAGGGTCAATGTGGACACAATGGGCTGAATGGTCTGCTTCCACACTGTAGGGTTCTATGATTTATACAGTGATCTGTCTCCTGATTGACTTTTAATATTAAGGATTGGCATTGAGTTATGCCAGAGCAGTAGTAAGACTGTGCTAACACTGCATTTTTGAGCAAAGTGTGCTGTCTTTGTTTTGAGTTAATTGCTGGATCTGCAGATCGTTAAATGGCTTTTAGTAGGACGATGTGCTCTTCCTGTCAGATGTGGGAGATCAGGGAGAATTTGGATATTCCTGCCTGCAGGAAGTGTGGTTAGTTGCGAATCCTATTAGTCGACAGGGATCCGATGCAGGAGCAGTTAGAGATGATGAGGAGTTTACAAGAGCAAGGGGGTGTGATGGATGGTATTTTCAGGAAGATGGGGACTCTGCAGATACAGTCAGGTAGATGGTTGACCACTAGGAATGGTAGGAGAGGTAGCCAGGTAGTACAGGAGTGGCCATCGCCATGACAAACAAGTATGCCGTTTTGGATACTGTAGGGGACGATGGCCTCTCAGGGGAATGTCGCACTGAGAGCCATGCTTCTGGTACTGTGACTGGCTCTTCTGTAACAAGAGGTATGAAAGGTTCCAAGCGATTGATTGTGAAAGGGTGTGGTGCAGACAGACATATCTGCAGCCGCCAGCGAGACATCAGGATGGTGTAATGTCCCTCTGGCGCCAGGGTCAAGGGTATCTCAGACAGGGTGCAGAATACTCTGAAAGGGGACAGTGACCAGCAGGAGTTCATTATGCACCTTGGTACCAATGACATAGGTAGGGAAAGGGATGAGGTTTGGCAAAGAGAATACAGCAAACTAGACAGGAGGTCAAAAAGTAGGTCCTCGTGGGTAGTATTTTTTAGATTACTCTTGGTGCCTTGTGCTAGTGAGGGTAGGAATAGGAGGATAGAACGGACGAATGTGTGGCTGAGGAGCTGGTGCAGGGGACAAGGATTCACATTTTTGGACCATCTGGATCTCAAATCTTAATCTGTTTTTTTTTTAAATCTATGATAGTGAATAAAGTGAGGGCAATACTTTGAGATCTAGATGGTCCAAAAGTGACCGGTATAAGAGGGACAGGTTCCACCTGAATTGGAAGGGGACCAATATGCTCGCAGGGAAATTTGCTAGTGCTAGTGAGGGGTCTGGGAACCAAAGTAATAGTGAGAAAAGGCTGACGCTGGTACAGTTGAGAAGAGGAGCAGGTCTAACAGTCAAGGCAGACAAGGACTTGTCAGAGAGTGAGATAACATATATTAAGCTGCATTTACTTCAATGCAAGAGGCCTTCCAGGTTAGGCAGATGAATTCAAGGCACGGTTGGGGACATGGGACTGCGATATCATAGCAATTTCAGAGTCATGGCTCAGGGAAGGGCAGGACTGGCAGCTTAATGTTCCAGGGTATAGATGCTAATTGGAAGGATAGAAAGGATGGCAAGAAAGGAGGGGGAGTGACATTTTTGTTTGGGGTGAACATTACAGCTGCACTCAGGGAGGATATTCCTGGGAGATCCTCCAGTGAAGTTATTTGACTGGAACTTAAAAATAAGAAAGGGATGATCACTTTATTGGGATTGTATTATAGTCCCCCCTCCTCCAATAGTCAGTGGGAAATTGAGAAGTAAATATGTAAGAAAATCTCAGTTATCTGTAAGAATAATAGGGTTGTAATGGAAGGGATTTTAAATTTCCAAACATTGACTGGGACTGTCATAGTGTTAAGGGCTTGGATGGAGAGAGAATTTGTTAAGTGTGTAAAAGAAAATTTCTGATTCAGTATGTGGATGTACCTACTAGAGAAGGAGCAAAACCTGACCTACTCTTGGGAAACAAGGCAGGGCGGGTGACTGAGGTGTCAGTGGGGGAGCAGTTTGGGGCCAGTGACCACAATTCAATTAGTATTAAAATCGTGATGAGAAAGGATAGACCAGATCTAAAAGTTAAATTTCTAAATTAGAAGAAGGCCAATTTTGACAGTATTAAGCAAGAATTTTCAAAAGCTGATGGTGGGGGGGCAGATGTTCACAGGTAAAGGGATGACTGGAAAGTGGGAGGCCTTCAAAAATGAGATAACAAGAGTTCAGAGATAGTATGTTCCAGTCAGGGTAAAGAGCAAGGCTGGTAGGTACAGGGAATGCTGGATGACTAGGGAAATTGAACCTCTTGTCAAGAAAAAGGAGGAGGCATATGTCAGGTATACTCAGCTGGGATCGAGTGAATCCCTAGAGGAGTATAAGAGCAGTAGGAGTGTATATAAGAGGGAAATCAGGAGGGCGAAAAGGGGACATGAGATAGCTTGGGCAATTAGGGTTAAGGAATCATATGTAACGGACAATGTCCAGGCTCCACAATCACCACCCCTATGGTTCTGCCCCACCTGCAGGGCAGACCCTTCAGACATGGCACCACAGTGGTATTCAGAGAGGGAAGGAATTTCCCTGCAAAAGATTAACTCCGGACTCCATGAAATTTCACAGTATCAGATCAAACCTGGTCAAGAAATACTCTTGACTGACGAATTAGTACTTCTTCATGAAGGAGCTCTGCAACAGGCAAAGCCACAGAATAGATTTGGATAAGGACTTCAATGTCCAATGCCAGGAATGGTACCACTGAAATCGATCTGCGTTTAATTCTGTCTTAATTTTTACTGTTTCCTTCTTATCTACATCCTCTATTATTAATACACACATCGTAGTACGGCAACTCATACAACTTTTCACTGAGCTTGTTCTATAAAAATACGTGACAATAAATTGCTAGTCTATTCTATCAGGCCAGGAGATCAAACCTGGTTCAATGAACAATGCATGGCACGGTGGCTCTGTGGTTAGCAGCACTGTCTCACTGCATCAGGGATCCGGGTTTGATTCCACACTCGGGCTGTGTGGAGTTTGCATGTTCACCCCCTGTCTGTGTGGGTTTCCTCCGGGTGCTCACACCGTCCAAAGATGTGCAGGTTAGGGTGGATTGACCGTGCTAAGTTACCCCGTAGTGTCCAGGGATGTGTAGGTTGGGTGGGTTAGCCATGAGGAATGCAGAGTTACAGGGATAGGGTAGGGGCATGTGTCTGGATGGGATGTTCTTCAGAGGATTGGTGTGGACATGTTGGGCCAAATGGCCTGTTTCCACACTGTAGGGATTCTATAAAAAAATGAGAGGAGTAGCACCAGGCTTACCTATGTAAGGAACATGCGTGTGTTTTTTTTTTATTGAGGGTAAGAATGAGAGTCATATATTTATGCAGCACGGGAACAGACCCTTCCATTCAACTTGTCCACGCCAACCAGATGTCCTAAATTAATCTCATCCCATTTGCCAGCATTTGGCCCATATCCCTCTAAACCCTTCCTATTCATGTACCCATCCAAATGCTTTTTAAATGTTGTAATTGTACCAGCCTCCACCACATCCTCTCACAGCTCATTGCATACACGCACCACCCTCTGCAGGAAAAAGCTGTCCCTCAGGTCCCTTTTAAATCTTTCCTCTCTCACCTTAAACCTATGCCTTCCAGTTCTGGATTCCCCGATGGGGAGAAAAAACTTTCACCATGCTCCACATGATTTTGTAAACATCTGTAATGTCACTCCTCAGCCTCCAACACTCCAGGGAAAGTAGTTTCAGCCTATTGAGCATCTCCCTATAGCTCAAACATTTCAACCCTGGCAACATCCTTGTAAATCTTTTCAGAACCCTTTCAAGTTTCACAACATCTTTCCTACAGCTGGGAGACCAGAAATGAATGCACTATTCTAAAAGTGGCCTCACCAATATCCTGTACAGCTGCAAAATGCCAACCCAACTCTTATACTCAATGTTCTGATCGATGAAGGCAAGCATATCAAACACCTTCTTCACTATCCTATCCAGCTGTGATTCCACTATGAACCTGTAGCTCAGGTCCCCAGCACCCTATCACTAAGCGTATAAGTCCTGCCCTGATTTGCCTTACCAAAATGCAACACCACACATTTACCTAAAACAAACTCCATCTGCCACTCCTCAGCCAATCTGATCAAGGTCCTGTTGTACTGTGAGATAACCTTCTTCACTGTCCACTATGCCACCAATTTTGCTGACATCCGCAAACTTACTCACCATTCCTCCTAAATTCTCATCCAAATCATTTTATGTAAATAATGAATAACAGTGGACCAATCCCCGTGGCACACCACTGGCCTCAGGGCCCTAGTCCAGAAAACAACCCTCTACCTCCATCCTCTGCCTTCGACCATCCAGCCAATTTTGTGCCCAGTTGGCCAGCTCTCCCTGGATCCCGTGAGATTTAACCTTACTCAGTTCATAAAACTTTCCACAAAATATACCCTGCACTTTCCCCTCTTTCAGCATCACCCCCCCCCCAGGTCTGGAGTCTCAGAACTCTTTGCATTTCCCATAGTGAGGGAAATAAAATGCTTTACCACGGCAACGGTGGGGGGGGGGGGGGGGGGGGAGAGCGGGGAGGTTTCAGTCAGTGTGAAGCTAATATTAGAGAATGTGCTTTGTTTGAATCTGAGGGGGGAGAAAATGAAAGAAAAGGATTTTGCAAAGTGTCCCAGGCAATCCCTCGGCGCAGGCGCAATGCGGGCCGACTGTCAGCCCCGCCCCCTCCGCTGACGTCACAACGCGGAAGTTGCCCCGTGAGTTTCAGAGAGAAACTGCATCCTCTGGGAGCAATGTCTCCCCCTTTCCATTTCTCATCCTGGGAGAGGGAGAGAGGGGGGAAAACTGTTCACTTATTGCAACTGGAGTGAATCCAAGGGAGGGAGCAGACTCTGCAGAGCTTGGTTCAGGTATGTGTGTCTCTCTTAATTACCCGGGTAAGAAGGGACGGGGGAAGGAGAGAGATTGGGACCTGGGAAGGGGGAGGGGTAGAGATCTTTCTGTTTTTATTTTTTGAAATATACTTGATTCATGAATCATCTGTAAATAAACGCAACAGGTCCGCACAGACTTTGAGAAAATACAACATTCCTCACTGCAGTTTCAAGCCGGTCACAACTGTAAACTGTCTGTATCCTCTGTTCTTCTAACCCTTTGTGTGTCGTCTGCAAATTTGGACTCCAGTACATTCGCTTCCTTCCTCCAAGTCATTAATACTTCCAGGTTTACCCTCAAAGTTCGTGGCGTTCATTTATGATTTCTCAGTTGTCTTTTGCTGGTTTTGAAAACTTTCCCAATCCCCCTATGTTTTGCCACGTTATCTGTTCAGTTTCTGTATGGTGTAGGTGTCAATGGCTCATTTCCCCTGGGTGACATTAACCATTTCATATCTGATTGTTTCTCAAGAAGCTGCATTGCTCTACAGTGCAGGTTCATCCTAAATTGACACTATTTTTCTTTGCTTCCCAAATAACAAATCATACCTGTTCGCTCACAGCAGTATCCCAGTATCACGAAAGATGTTTTTTTTTCAGGTAGACTTATCAAAAATTCAGGGGGATGTCAGTCTTGACATTTTTTGCTTTTCTGCCCTTCTAAGATCCTGAATCAGCACTTTCAGGTGAATTAGTTGTGGCAGAGGGAGAGAGAGAGAGAGTGGGATGGGCCCT